AGACAGATAGATAGATAGATACATACATACATACACACAGACACATAGACACACAGACACACAGACAGACAGACACACAGACAGACAGACAGACAGACAGACAGACAAACAGACAGACAGACAGACAGACATACAGAATCATACAGACATAGAGACATACAGACATACATGCAGACATGCAGACATGCAGACATACATGCATACATACATACATACATACATAAACCTTTGCGAAAGTGTGCGTGAACGTGTGCATGTGCGAGTGCATGCCTGTGAGACTGTATGTCTGGCAGTCTGCCTGCCTGCCTGCCTGCCTGAAAGTTACTTGCCTATTTGTCTGTCCGTCTGTCTACTCTACAGCAAACAAAACACACTCAGGCATGCGCGTAGAAATGCAACGAAATGCACACGAGCGAGATGTGGATCCTGACACGGGCCTGGGTCCGCATCAGTCGCATAGCTACATACATGCAAACATCTAATAACCAGATAAATATGTGTATGTATGTATATATATACATACATACATACATACATACATACATACATACATACATGTGTGTGTACATACAGATACATACATACACCCATACATACGCAGCAAATGCGCACACAAAAATATACGCGTACATAGAACATGCTCGCGTAAATTGTCAATGTGTTGGCGGGTGTCAACACAGTCGTGTTCGCTTGATTGCTGCATCGTATGAACATGAGAGTGATAGGGGCTTCCTACATAGACTACATGGTATACTGAAGCTTTTATGTCGCATGGAACTTGTCGCATGCGAACTAGTGTCCACGGCATCGGCTACTACCTGTAGGTATGATAGGCATGCATATGCCCGAGTGCCGTGTGCTCCCAACGAGACCTCTCACTCAGGTCAGGTGATGCGTCGCCGCCCAGGACGGGCTCCACCCAAGAAGCCCGGCGTTTGCGTCCTTAGTTAGACTCCTCTAAACCACGCCCTCAAGTCTGAAGCCTAAGTTCTGTAGCCTTTCTCCATAAGACCGCTCTCGGATCAATCCCTTTCCAATTTATGATGGGAAGTACCTCAAAAACCTTGCCCTAGCCGCTAGCCTGTTTGGATCCAAGTGCTGTGAAGCTCTGCAGTGCGCCCGCGGACGGCCTCAGTGCAAGGGCGAGTCCCAGAGCTTTGGGCGTTCGGGGTTTGAGAGTGGTTCGACGCAGGGGGTGCGCGAGGGGATGACGGGGATGAGACCATAACTCGCATATGTCCACAAACGTACCCTACATACATACGTACATACATAAAAATATGTAGGCATGTGTATATACATATTTGTGGTGACAGGTGTATATGAAAGAAGTGTATATTATATATATATATATATCTAAATACACACTATATATCGGTCTCTGAGGCCGTGTAAAAATGCATGCATGGCCCTATGCATGTACACAGACGTATGCATGCATTTATCGGGTGTAGGTGCTCCTGGTTTCTGATTGTTCATTTCAATATTTGGCAACAAGTCAACCTTAATACTGCCAAGAATAGGAGGCAGTGTCACCGGGCACATTTACTGTAAGGGTTTGGGCCAGCAAACAAATGGAAAAATGATAAGAAGACCTAACAGGATCTACATGCAACGATGACACCAGATCATTTCGTAAAACAACGTTGTCGGTGCAACAACGGCGCCTTTTGGATGTGGCTTTGGATGTTGGAGGTTGGGAATTCTTCACACTGGTCTGAGAACCGAACACCTGAACACCCCTTTAAAGCCCTTTTGTGAGTTTTCGTTGCCAACAGGTCTGCCGGGAAGCGACGGATAAAACGATATCACCTACTACTAACTACTCTGGCCCTAAGAACCCCTCCACAAGCCTTGAACTTTAACACTTGGACCCTCTCCTACAAAACTCTAAAAGCCCCCTACAACAGTCAACATGGGCCACACAGTATAAAACCCTCATACATGCCCTTTTGCGGCTCCAATCCCTAAGCCCTAAACTCTCGTCACCACTGGGCTCAAGTCTACTAAACCCCAAACCCCTACCCTAGACCCTGTTTGCAACTGGATCCCCAAAACCTAACCCCAAACCACTCACCCTACATCCTGAACCCTGAACCCCAAACCGTAACCCCAAACCCTAAACCCCAAACCCTAAACCTAAACCCTGAACCCTAAACCCTAAACCCTGGACCCTAAACCCTGAACCCTACACCCTGGACCCTAAACCCTGAACCCTACACCCTGCACCCAAACCCTAACTCTAAAATCCTAAACGTCAGCCCGGCCGCCGCCCTGGAACGGTGCAGGGCTTCGTGGCAGCGGAAGCTCCTCCAGGCTCCGGCGGCTCTTAGGAATTCATATAGCAGCTGTCTTGTTCAGGGTTTAGGATTTAGGTGTTTAGGGTTTAGGCTTTAGGGTTTAGGGTAGCTTTCTTGCTTAGGGTTTAGGGCTTTGGGTAGCTTTCTTGTTTAGGGTTTAGGGTTTAGGGTAGCTTTCTTGTTTAGGGTTTTGGCCAGCGTTCTTGTTTAGGGTTTAGGGTGGTGGGTAGCTTTCTTGTTTAAGGTTTAGGGTTTTCGGTAGCTTTCTTGTTTAGGGTTTAGGGCTTTGGGTAGCTAGCTTTCTAGTTTAGGGCTTAGGCTTAGGGTTTTGGGTAGCTTTCTTGTTTAGGGTTTAGGGTTTAGGGTAGTTTCTTGTCTTTGTCTCCCACCCAGCTATGTTGCAGGGCACATTTTACGATTTAGGGTCTAAACTAATTAGGGTCCCTTTTTAAGGTCCTTTTTCTAAAGGGTGCCGTACTATATTTACATTGGGGGACTGACGAGGTGACCCTAATTTAGGGAACTACACATATAGTGGCTTTCATAATTTTAGCAGTGCGCCTTTAAGGGTTCTTTTCAAGGGATCCAGAAGGGCTCTCTTTGGCATTAAGAGGGTTCGGGGGCCTTCATAATTATAATAGGATTCCTTTAAGGGTTCCTTTTCAAGGGCTCCATAAGCGTTTCTTTCTGTGATGTAGGGTTCAGGGGCCTCTATGGTTAAAATAGTCTCTTAGGGGCTGAGTATCCTAGCCCAAGAAAGGGTTAACCTTTCAAATTATAGTAGTGTTATATAAGCCCCAAAAGGTTAAAGGTTACCTACTCAGCTAATACTCAGGTCCTGGGGATGTGTCATCAAACAATTCTAAGAAGGAGCCCTTGAGAAGCATCAATTACGCTATTTTCGGGCTTGGGGAATTGGGACTGTCGGTCTCTTCGCCGCCCTTAGAACCCGAATTATTAGTAATATTCTCATTAACCCCTCGGAGTTCTGTTATAAACCCTCTCTCTCTCTCAGGTGCTCGAAGCGTCAGACATGTGTCATTATAAACCCTATACCCTAAAATCTAAACCCTAAACCCTAAACCCTAAAATAAGCAAAGAATAAACATAATATTTCCTAAGAGCAGCACAGGTCTAGGGTTTCAAGCGAGGACTGCGGCCAGGGCATTAGGGCGTGTGGGGGCCGGCAGGGTCAGGGGGTCTAGGTCTTTCGGGCTTTGGGTGTTAGGATGCCTTAAAGCTTTAAAGGCTTAGGGCGTTGGGATTTATGGGCCTCACGGTTGTCAAGGCTTGGGGGCTTTCAAGTCAGGGGTGTCAGTTCAACTTTCAAGCGTCGCCAGGGCACATCAAGGACGAAGATTTGAGATGCCCCTTTCCTGTATCCTGCAAATATCACGTCAGCAGGAAGGCGATACCTCCCGCCCAGCAACAAACGTGCAAACAGCTAGGGCGTCGTGGCCTGCAGGCACGCAGAGAAAACCGGCCACCGGATGCTTTCTGCAGTTTTAGGGCCGACAGCGCATGAACATCATACAAACTCATGAAAGTAAAGAGATCATAGGATGAGCGCGTGCCGGGGAAGGCCCATGTGCAGAAGACCAACGGCTGATGAAAGGCGAGGCCACTTGCCCGTTTCTTGCTGGATCTGAGTGCCGAAGCAACGGAAGGCTGAAGGACGCGGGGAAGGGCGGTGGGTGGAGATCGTATACGCTCAGCCCCTACGCTCAAAAAGTAGATCTGGCGCAGCGCGGCGAAACCTCACCCACCGCAACCATCACCACTACCACCACGACGACGCCAGCTGGAACTGCTACGAACTACTCCTACGACGACTTCAACGCTAATAGACGGTGGTGGCAACTTCAACTAGCAACTAGCAAGACTTTAGTTCCGCTCGAAACGAAGACACAGCATGAGGTACCCACCCTGATAGGGTCATGCTGTGCATCCAACAAGCAAAGAAACAGCCCTCCTTCTGGGACCAACGCTCGATAGGTTGTGAATTGGTGAAGAAGTCACCTGCGCCCGCCTGCAGGCCAATGGCTGGGGATCGATACAGGGCTGGGCATCTCGCAGCCTGCAAGCGCAGAACTTTTATCATCCAACATAGCCGCCACTCTTCCTTCTTCTGCAGCCAAAAACCCCTTCGACTCCCCACGAACTCAGTGATCCTTCCTTCTGCAGATCCGGCTCCAGGCTCCGGGCTCCGAAATAACCTGCCGGCCTCGACTCGACCAAGCCCGGCCGGGGATCTGCAGCGGTTGCGCCCAAGATCGGCGCCTCTGCAGCGGACATGGCCCTGTTCTAACCTCCTCGCCTCTCGCCCTCTTCAGTCGGGTCGGGTCGGACCCCGCAAACACGAGACTATAGGAGGAGAGGAGCTGGGAAGGCTGCAGATGCTCACCCCTGAGCCTTCGAAGCTGTAAGACAGTCCGGCAGGCTGCGATGGGCGCGGCCTCCGGGCAAACTCTGGGCACTTGCTCTCTGCCTGACAGATTGACGACGACTATTCGGATAACCCTCATGACCATCTCAGCAGTAGCAACCGTCATAGCTGGATCATAGTCAAGGAGATGCTACGGCCACCTTTTTTGGGCTGAATGTGCTGTAGCGCAGGGGAGGAGGCCGTCTTCTACGGCCCGAGCCGCCCCTCACAGCATACTAACACAAGGCTGGGCTGTAGGGCCATTAGAGGGTAGGATGATGTGGAGATCGAAAACCCCAAACCTCAAGCCTAAATCCAAACCCAAAACACCGAAACATTGCTTTGCATTCGGTCTCCATGGACGATACCCCACACACACACCCTGAACCCCAATCCCAACCCCAAAATCCAAAATCCTCAACCCAAACCCTGAGCCCTAAACGCTAAACCCTAAACCTTGAACCCTAAACCCTGAACCCTAAACCCTAAACACCTAAACCCTGAACCCTGAACCGCTCCACCAAGCGGCAGCGACGCCCCAGCGCCGCGCCCGGGCCCCGGAAAGCCCCTGAGGACCTCCTGCACGGAGCCACCCACCTCTGGGGAGCTTGAGTTTAGGTTGTTATTTGGGACACCTCTTTTCCGTCGCCTGAGAGGGTCGCGGATTTCGGGCTTACAGCTTTGGGGCAAAGCAAGGGCTTTCTGGAGCTTGGCTTAGGCTTCCTCTTGAAGCAGGAGGCTTTGTAAACAGTGCGAAAGGCAAGGTAAAGGCCACTGGCCGTTTTTGTTCCAGAAAACGCCCCAAGTCAAGGTCCTTAAACCCTTTATTTCCACAGGCTTAGGACCCTAAACCCTAAACCCCTAAACCCCCAAATCAAGGCAATTGCTAGAGTTACTCGCGGTTTTGCCTACTGAGGCCCTGGCTTCTCCCAGCAGATCTTGGGGTTGCAATTTGGGTGGTTCTCTAAATTTGGATCCCTTTTAGGGTCCTGTTTTATAAGGGTGTCGTACTATATTGGGGACCTAGAAAGGGACCCTAATTTAGAGAACTCTCCATTTAAGGGTTTGCAGTGATCAGTGCCCACAGCCACAAATTTTGAGGCTTCAGGGTGCTTGGTGGGGTCGTGTCAAGTTGCAGCTGGTCGTGGCAAGGGCGATGTAAACAAGCAGGAAACTGCCTCCGAATACATCCTGGCTACGGTCGCGATGACGCCTGTTTCCTTTAGTTAAGTTCTGCGTCGACAATGCTAGCTGCTAGGTGAACTCAACAGCCACACTCAATTCAGCAAAATTCCTTAGACTCCAGAGGGATCCCTGGCTACATGGCTGGTACAGGCTCTGCGTCTGCCGCGCGCCAGGACTACTGACCAGCGACTACAGGGGGCCCAAATAATTACCAAGCTACAAGTACTTGTGGGTTCCTTTCTTGTGGTTATCGTATAATATTCCCCCAAACCCTGTTCCCTAAACCCTAAACCCTAAACCCTCAACCCTATTTGGAACGAGGTCTCTCTGAAGTGCCTCCAAGCTCAACCCTAAACCCTTTTCCACAGGCTTGAACTGAGCTCGCCCGGCCAGAACCCTAAACCCTAAACCCCAAACCCTTAACCCTAAATTAATCAGCCCGCGATTTTGTCCCTGCATTTCTGGTGCCTGGAGATCCAGCCGGCTCCGCTGCTCGTCGGCCTCCATGAACTCGCGCTTCAGCGCCTCGATCTGATGCCCCACTTCTGCGCGCTCCTCAGCGGGCGTAGGGGAATTTAGGGCTGAGGGGTTATGTCTAGAGCTCGGCTCCTATGTTGCTTTTTTTTTCCATGGCCGAGCTCAGATAATGAAGGGTTTTAGGGGCCAGGGTTTGTGGGGTCTGGGGATTTCTGGTGGGTTTCGACTCTCACACTCGCACAAGGCAGGCTTCCAGGGGTTGGGGTTTAGGGCGAAAAATGCTGAGATTGGGTTCGACAAGCCGGGCTTTGCAGACGAGAGTGCTGGAGATACTTCTTTCAAGCACCGAATCAACAGCCAGCAAGCTCTCTAGAGGCAGCCACGAGATCAACAGGAGTCCGTAGCACATCATACCATCCGATCTCATCCTATGTTCTATTAACCCTGTACCAGACGAGTTTATACTTAGGACCGAACCTGAAAACCGAAGATCAAGGGAGTCGGGTGCGCCTTGTCCAACATCTGCAGTCGCTTTTCCAATTCCACCTCCGCGTCAGGCTACAAAGACATACTTTAACCCTTTTGCAGCAGGCTTCGTTCGCCCGGAACTACTTTAACCCTAAACCCCAAGCCCTAAACGCTAGGGGTGTAGGATTTCCTGATAAACTCCTTTTTTGCATCCAGGCCTGCGGCTGCTGGGTCGCCCTAGCCCTAAACCCACATAAATCCTTAACCCCTAAAACCCGACACCTCTCAACCCTCCAATGTAGGGGCCGAAATAATTGCCAATACTATTCTGGGGGTTCCTTATTATAATTATAGTATAATGGGCACCCAAACCCTATTGGAATTATTAAGGCCCCTACGTCACTCGTAAACCCTGACCTTGCCGGTCGCTTCCATGGCTTCCTCGCTTAACAAAGGAAGACTATGAGGGGAGACCAATAGTTGTTCGCGGCCATCCTCATAATGATAGGAGGTGGTATTACCCTCATGGTTGGTAGTATTGCCAGTAGTGGCAATTTTGCAGCCTTGTGGTGATGGTCATCCTGTCTTTCGGCACTATGTCTGGGATCATTATACATGAGTCATTCTTGTTATCACCAAAGCCTATGAAGATCGGAGAACTTCACGGGGTGCGTTTGAAGCCTTACTTCTCATGGACTCATACACAGCGCAGCCCGCAGACAGAGTACGACTGCATGTCCCTAGCCACATTCAGCAACGAAGGGGGTCAGGAGACAACCCTGTAAGAGATGTCGTCACACGAAGTTGTGCGAAGGCCAGGGACAAGGTTGAGCACCTCCTCTGCCGCCAGATCTTGCTGCTGCTTCTGGCTCTGTTGGATATGCTCCTCTTCCAGGCACATGGCCAAACCAGAAAAATACGACTACGATGTCACACGTGCGATCAGCACCACCACCGACCGCCGCCGTCGCCGCCACCACCACCACAACGACAACGACAACCACCTTCACAAACAACCCGCCACTGCAAAATGCACGAGCAGCAGACAAACAAAAAGGACCACAATCACAACCACAGGCAGACGGAGAAGCACAAGCACCTCCAGCACGAACACAACCACCGCCACGGCGACGATGAACTTGATTCCAGATGGAGACGACCACGAGACGACGAGGACGAGGACGAGTGCAACAGGCCAACGCGAGAGCTGGCGGCGAGAAGCCAAAGACACTGGTAGTGACACTGCCGCCAGTTCTTGGCCTTTCAACCACAATGAAGAGCAAGACAAGTGTAAACGTGCAAGCAGAAACGCAGTTGCCGCCGATTCGATCATGAGCAGCACGACTATCAGTTTATGCATGCCATCGCCCCCCCCCCCCCCCCCCCC